CTACAAGCATGCTTGGTGGGAGGGATTCCATTGGAGTCAATGAGTCGATGCAATCAACTGGTTTTCTTTAAATAGAAAACTTTGAATCAATTTGACTGTATGATCTGGTTGAACTGTTAAGTGTCTTAAAGATGACGTGTTGTGAATTGGCGCTATATAAATAAACTGAACTGAGTTAAAAATCAACAAAAATTAGTAAAACAAAGAACAAATCATATTGTTAGTCATATTACTATGCATAACTATGCTGTTACTCTGTAATACTTTAGGATAATGTGTTTGAAAATGAAATGAAAGATTTTTTTTAGGCTTAACCTGTTTGTATTGTAGGTTTGGTCCAATATGGTTTGTTGTTTGCTCATCTCTCTCTAGTGGTTTGCAGCACTTCCATTATATTAGAGTTTGCAGCTGTTTTCAGTATTTGCATTATTTTCTCTGTGTAACTGTAGCATTTTTTGTGGTTACTTCATTTGTTTTGTATTCGTTTTGTCGATTGCAGGTTTTTGCTACTTTTAGTGATTGCAGCATTTCTTGTTTGCAGCATTTTTCTGATGCATTTGTTGTTATTTTGTTTTTTTGTGTTTGCATATTTTGGACCTCACATCATCCGTGTGTTTGAGCCTCACTTCGCCGTTTGTTGAACTGCTTCACCTTTTTGCAGTGTTTTTCTTTCACAGTAGTTTTTTTGTGCTTGCGTGTATGGGAGTTTGCATCACACGTTCTTGCAGCTTGTTTCCTCACTTACTGTGCGTTTACACCTGTCGGCCACCATATTATATAACACCAGCTAGTAAAGAAAATACAAACATGCTGATACACTGTAAAGGCTTTAAGCAGCTAACCCATAAACTATAGAAGCTCAAAGAATAATAAAAACGGTACGGAAATTGACAAATACTAAGGAATGTAATAAGAACCCTGCTAGAAAAAAATAACTATATGTCTGCTTAACTCTGTTTACAAACTTTGCCTTATGCTAAAATAAAAAGATAAATTGACAGACAGACGGACAAATTGATTTCAATAATCGATTAATCACAATTAACTTTTTCAGCCCTATAACAAATACATCACTATTTACTGCTTGTGCTACAATGTTTGGTGATTACTAGGTGTGCAATTTGCACTGATCACAGTTTTCTGGCCGATGCCAAATCTTTAAAAAGCCTGACATGCCGATATGGATTTCAGCCGGTACAGATTTAATTTTATAACTGACCATGTGAGCTTTTATAGCATCACAGGAAACAATATTTTAATCTGACTAAACAGAAAAAAATGCATCATTGCCAGTGAAAAAATAAAAACTTCTGAAATAACTGCTCTCAAGTGTATATTAAAGCTTATGGCATCGACACTGGGTGAGTTTTAGACTTACAGAGTTTGATGTGATTGGTGTGAAGGATCGGTTTCAAATCTAAATATCAGCTGATCGCCGATCTCCCAAAATTAAGAAAATCAAGGCTGATCAATCGGCTGGCAAATCGGTGCAACCCCAACATAGCCATGGTTTATCACTGAGGGTTTGGTCTAACAAAGCCCCCATTACCAGGATCCCCCTGAATGAGCTGGAAGATGGCACTAGGTAGAAGGACTTCTGGGCTTTCTTCCTGGACCTGTTGCCCAAGCAACCTGACCTCAGTTTGTGGATGACAATGGATAGATTTTACAATACAAACATTTTAAAACCTTTGCCAGCACAGTTAAACAGGATGGCCATAGTGAAATACAATCGGGCATTTGTGCCAGAATTTGAAGAAAAAAAAAATCAGGCTTAGCTTGATCTATTTTGCACAGATGAATAAGAAAAAGTCTCAGTGTATTTATCAGAGCTGGAACCCCTAAACAACCTGGACTGCAGTTAGATGTAGATTTACAGGATGCCTAATGTGGCCAAAAACAATACCCACACATTACTGAGATATTCAAATATATAAATAACAAGAAACAATCCTGCACCACTTTCTTTCTACTTCACGACAATTTACAACAAGTCGTATTTAACACGTCACTGTTTGCTGTTGTAATGATGTGAGCACGTTTGCAAATAACTGCGTTATTATTTATAAATGGAGTCAGTGTATATTTCCTTCATTTGGTCCTTGTTTGTCCGGACTTACCAGAGCTTCTTTTCCCACAGTCAGGATGGAGGTGTAGGCCTCCAGGTAAACCCGGGAGCAGCTCCTCACAGCCTGCAGACCCTTCACCGTGATGTCGGTGGCGTCTCCGAGCCCCAAACCGATTAGATAGAGCATCCTGTCAGCCCCGAATCTTTAAAATTCACCACATGGACCCACAATAATAAAACGAGTCTATCCTCTCACATTCACGTGTAGTCCCACTAAACAAGGCGATATACGGCTGGCTGTAAAGTGTTTATAGTCACGACAGCTGTCGACGAGATACGGCCAATGGCTGGTCTACTAGCTCCAAACTCCATAAGCAAAATGATGTGTTAAGTAAAATTCTTCCCCTGATTGCAATATTTGTTGAAATAATAACAGCTTTAGTATATTTTCCTCAGCAAAACGTCTCACCGTTAATTCGGTTATGTTATAATGAAATAATCAATTACTTAGTGTGATTTACAAACAGTTTACTCAACTCCTTTGAATGTCATACTCCTATGATTTTGGAAATACAATCTGTAATTTAGGTTTATTACACAATTCATGTGCGCCGATATGAAGAGGTTTTGGTAGGAGTTGCAAATTTTCTCCAAATTGTGATTTTTTTTCTTAATTAAAATATGTTTAACAAATAAAAAACTCTGCCTCGGAAATGTCACACTTTAAGTATAATCAGCCCCTATTCAGGGACACAATGCTATATTCCCAAATAGTAAATAATATAAATATAATATAAATGTATAATTAAAACAACAAAGCTTGTCTAAGAATAGAACAAACTTTAACATTGTCTGTGTCTGCAGCATTATTTATTCACTGGTAGATTATCCAAGAATTTACGAAAGAATAACAATACCATTTAATATTATTTAGGTGAAATGTTAAGGTGTGGCAAGACTACTCCTTAAAGTAAAATTTTTGTTCAAAAGTTCATCTACTTAGTGTAAACGAGTAAGTATGATTGCTATAAAAACTGGCTGATATAACAGGTTTCTGCAATATTTTCACATAATATGCTTCTCAGGCAGGAGGGTTTTTTTCAGGCTTGCAATTATTCCCTTTTTTACTCAAGATGTAGCAATGGTTCTCATGGAAAATACTTGAATTTTAATTTTACTAGATCAAAATACAGGGCTGCTCAGTGGAGCAGTGGGTAGAACTGCTGCGTTGCAGCGATAAGGTTCTGGGTTCGATTCTCCTGGCCTGGGATCTCTCTGCATGGAGTGTGCATGTTCTACCTGTCCATGTGTCGTTTCTCTCTGGATACTCTGGCTTCCTCACACAGTTAAGACTGTTAGGTTAATTGGCCTCTAAATGCTCCTTAGTTGTGTGCGTGACTGGAGTACACCGTGGACAGGGGGACACCCCCTGTAGGGCATACCTTGCCTCTTGC